CCATAGAAAAACCCCAAAAGAGGATCATCAGGCCTTCTCCTGGTAGCCTCAGTGTGGGGCGGAGCTGGGGCCCACCTCCAGCTATTTTATGTTCTGTAATTAAATATGTTAAAATAAAGTCATTATTGTAAGTCAAACCTCATCTCAGACCCGCATCGGCATGACACCACCACAGGCCGCCCTTCCAGGGTGGGTCCAGTTCGGTTCTGGACACCTCACAATGAGGTGGGCATTGGGGCCCTAAGAGCAAGTGATCACAGAGGCGCCAGCCTCTGACTCTGAGGCCTGTGCAGGGCCCGGTGTCAGCCACAGTTGGGAAGAGCACCTCATCATGCTAAGAAAGGCAGGGTGGCTATACCACGTCAGGGCCACGGGAGTTTACACGGCTGCTCACATGGTAGGAACTGGAAAGCAGGCTAGACCTCAAGCGGAGCCCACCCTCAGTGTCCGAATCCTCCAGCTAGGTCACATGTCCAGAAAGTTATATCTCCTGGTATTACCAGCTAGGGACCACTTGTGGGGGACAGTTCCCTTCAAGCTGTTCTAGTCTAACCTCCACATTTCCACAGCCCTTTCCACCAGTTAATGCTAACTCAGGAAACTGAGGGGCAGGACCAGTGAGATAGGTGGCTCAGTGGATAAACTGTTTGCCAGGCAGGCCTGACAACCTGAGGTTGAAGTAGAGCACTAACTCTGACCTCTGACCTCTGACCTCACACATGCTAGGTATATGTGCCCTACCCCCAATAACACACACCTGCAGACAGTGTCTCTGTGGCCCTGGCTGTCCTGGAATTCACTTATAGACCAGGCTGTCCTGGAACTCACAGAGATCCTCCTGCCTCTGCCTCCCCAGTGCTGGGATTAAAGACGAGCGCCACCACCTCCCGACCTCAAAACACATTTTTTAAAATTGGGCTATGAGGTTTCTCTGGATGCTTGTTCAAAACCATGAGCTTCCCATACTTGACCAAGCTATTAACCCCTTGCCTGACATAGAAACTGCGTGTGTCATAAAAGGGGACACAGCCTCCATAGCAGTGGCCGTTTGCATGCTGGAGAGCCTGAGAACTGGGTGCCTCAACAGTGCGGGCCAGTGAGATGGCCCGGTGGGAAAGGGGGCTTGCCACCAAGCCTGGTAGTCTGAGCTCAACTCCGGAACTCACATTGTGGGCCAGCCACCCTCACACAAGTGTCCTCCATCCCACCTGTCAGACACACACGTTTTTAAAAAAAGAAAGAAAAATAAAGGCATGCAAGTTTTTCCTCAGAAAAAGCATGCCTTTTATTTCTGGATGGGCCACCAGCTTGCCAGGGTCTTCAAACCTGGTTCTGTCTAGTTGCTAGTCAAAATCATCGCATACCCAGCAGAAAAATCCTAGACCACGCCAAGAGACTCAACCATAGAGCACTTACCCAGAATCCACCAGTGAGGGCCTGAGAAGACGATGAAGGCCAGTGCCAAGGAACACTTAGGAAACAGTGTAGAAAGCAGGCCTGTAAACACCTACGGAATTCCACTTGCAGAATCCTGCCCTTGCCGGGTCCACTCTCAATCCTGGCGAGCAGAGCATGGGGTGGACCCATGGAGAGAGCTGCTTCAGAAGGGAGGGAAAGAGACACGGGGAGGAGGTGGAATCACAAGTTCAAGGTCATCCTCAGCTCCATAGCAAGTTCAGGCCAGCCCGGCTGAAGCAGACCCTGCCTCAAAACAGCACAAGTTGGGGAGCATAGCCCAGGCGCCGGACTCCAGGGCTGGCTCACCATCGCCCCCTGCTGTCGCTGGTGGAGTAAACGATTAGTAGCCTAAGGCCAAGGTGTGGGAAACCTCGGCTCCACCCGTCCATGTGCAGGCCAGGCAGAGGAACACAGCCAGTCCTGTCCCGCAGCCCCTGCCATGCAAGACCGGAATACGCCACCAGGTGGCGCTCCAGGACCGGTTAAAAACCCGCTAGCACTGGCGCTTACACTGGTGTGGGATGAAATAGAGCTCGCGTCTACCCTCTGCCCTGAGACGGGAGGAGTGAGGTTACACCAGTTACAACCACCGCAAAAGCTAGTGTTTCTATTTCACTCGCGATGTTTGTTTACTTATCCATCTGTTCGTCTGTGTGTGTATCCTTGCAGTCTCTCTTGTACCCAGGCAGGCCTCGAACTCAGGCTCAAATGATCCTCCTGCCCAGTCCTCAGAGCAGCTGACAACACAGGTCAGTACCACCATGCTGGCTAAAACGGGGTTTTTTAAAAAAACAGGTAAAAGACAGCAAGGAGGTGGTTATTCGGGTTCTGGGCTGTGTTTATGCCTGTTTTTTTTCCAGCTCCACGGGGGGGCGCTATGATGAGGGCAGGACTCCTCACATGATGAAGCTTAGGGAGGCCAGGAGTTTGAGCTCCTCGTTGTCCTACTCCAGGGCCTGTGGCA